ACAGCTGCGCTATCTGCACCAGGTCCGTGACTGAGGAAACAAACTTAGTCCCCCGCCTTTTAACATTGAGTGCACCGGCCCTGGGCAGTGCGTCTACGGTCACGAGAGGAGACGGCACGAGTGCTGAACGTTAGAGAAACAGTGAAATCATCCAGGTGGAAGTCCAAGTTCATCGTGCTGGGAACAATAAACTAAGAACAATGAAAAACATTGTAAGTTGAATAGTGATGTATCACATGATGTAGTTAACAGCGAATTAATTAAACATTAATGGTTTTAAGGAAATAAATGGAAGTACACTTGGACACGTGCGTATTAAGGTGAATACGGGAAAAGTGGACATGACGAGCTGCAACTGTGCGAATAGTTAATAGTATCTGAATTACCGGAGCTAATGAAAATAAGACAGACCTGCGGGACAATTTCATAAACAAAATTAACAACACTTAAACTCATGTTTAATGAATTGCGACTAGGAAATCGAGTGTGCAGCGTAACGTAAAAACGAAATACGAATACTGTGAATAAAAAAGACTGGTGCAAGGGTTTTGCTGCGTGCAAGTGATAGTTTTGAAGACGAGCGAAACTTGCTGTACAATAAGTGGAGTGATCGCTGCTAAAGCGGCGAACCTCCAATGCTGCTGTCGAGAGCCATCGGCTGCCGTGGAAACGCTGCGGGCAGCCGGGAGAGGACGCAAGCAACTTGGACAAGGTCACGAGGCGGCGGTGCAGACACGTCACGGCACATTTCTCCGCAATGGTATCAGCAGACGGCGGGCGTGAAGTAATTAACGGACGACAAAACTGTAAGTCTGTTCATACGAAAAATTCATTTGTTTCAAGTGGATCGGGAGAAGCGAGTGGGAGGTTATTACTCGCGCAACATTTCTTGAACAATGGATTAAAGAAATGCGGTTAGAGTGGGGGTATTAGTTAAGTAATCAGCCACTAGATTTTATGAAGCAATGCCAATATCTGGAGAATCAGTCATGCCTTCGCAACTTTCTCAATAATTTGCGTTCTTTCTCAGGAATTTAACTATCTCATGTGAGAGATCTTCACTTGCTTCGGTCATTTCTTTAGATGTGTTCAAATCACGGTCAGAAGTTCACGTCTTCAACGGAAAATGGTTTCTATTTTGCACTAGTGAAGATGTATTTTGAATGTTGTCATCAGTGCACGTCGTGAGCTTTTATCTTCAACTGTTTATTGTGTCAGAACAGGGAAGCAAGGTCATCGTTCAAGAAAAGTTGCGCGAGTAATATAAAAACCGCTCGAGTGTAATAAGTCGTATTGTCTGTAGTAACAGTTTAGTGTGGATTATAACTGAGGAAGGAGGTAAAAAGTCCATGAGATGTACAACTCACATGTAACTAATTAAGTAGGTTCGTTAGTTATCCATGGGATCAGCATTCTTTGATGACTGTACAGGGTGCTCTCGCTAAGAAACTAAACAGAACTGAGAAAATCAATGAGTAATAATTTTGAGGAATAATTTTAAACTGTTAATTTTCATGGTGTTCCTAATCCATAATTTAATGGTCAGTTCATATTCAGTGATTTACTTGCTCATGTTATATTTTTTCCATATTACAATCAATCTGGTGTCCTAACTGCATTTGGGAGTATATAAGTTCGCAAGCCTTGTTTGTTTACTTCAAATGTTGGTGGTAGGTACGCCAGGTTGAATTTGAATTTCACCAGGTCTGTGGAAAACAGATCGAATCGCAATTTATCTAAAGCATCTTCTGCTCTACCTCCATAAAAGGTTGTTAGAAATCGTACAGAAGCTTCCGCAATAGCTAAAGCTAGAGTGTCAGGCTCGAAGAAATGTTTGATTTCGTCTAGAAGTCATTTTGGCCAACAGCTTGGCCATCTTGAAGAGAACTAACGTTGTTACATCTACTTGTGACGGGGAGAAATAGGAGTGCCTTTTGTCTGCCAACTTGAAGCTGTAGGGACCAAATACTTTTGATGGGGTCGATTTTCTTCCAGGTTTTGAGAAATATGTTTGCTGATGCTAGTTAATTGAGCTTGATGCGAAGGTCTGTTTCCTCAGAAACTACCGCACTTTTGTTATGATCATGTGATACCTCAAGGGCAACGGCAACAATTAGGTGGGATGCATGTTCATTATTAGCTAAGGAGACACTTTATTTTTGTCGTTGGAAAGGAATTTGCTTCTGAGTCATGGTCACCAACATTAACTCGGTAAAGATGACATCGTACGTAATTGTGTATTTTGTTTAGGTGTACTTTGGTTTTGTTTAGGTGTATTTTTGCACGTTTAGTGTGTATTTTGCTTCGGTAGTGGCTGTCAGCAGATTTGAGGCAATTGATGAGCATTTTTTGGGTAGCCATCAAACACCGCACTTATCGCATTTCGGTCGTAGTGATTATTTAGGTAATCAACGTATTTTGTTAGAATTAATCGGAATGTTTCACCATTCTCCACGCAACCCGATGGGGAAGAAATGCACCATCGATGACAAGAGCCGCTCCTTCCCGGTTTTCCTCATTCAGTGGTGAGAACAAGTCATAAATGACTTGGGAGGCATTCTCAATCCAACTGCATCAAACAGAGGGAGGGGATAGGGTGCCATATTATAATGGAAGAATTCCTTACGTTGTTCTCTTTTTTGGAGTGCTATCCGGTGGAATATGGTTTCAGGGCTGACTGACGTATCCTCCCAATCAATGATCACCATAGATTTCAATCCTTGAATACACATTGCTTTTTTGGGACACACGTGATGTTGTCAAAGGTGATGTTGACCATCCAGGGCGAGCGAAAACAATGAACCCCACAGATGAATGGATCTCATAATATTGTATAAGAATTTTTTTAATGTTATATTTTTATGTATTATATTCTACAATTTGAATGTTTTATTGTATTACTATGAAGAGTGTGTACTAAGTTCAAGACTAGTACAATGCAGTTCGATACAACTATGTTTAATATAGTGTTGATAACACTTATTGAAGAACTTCAGTTTAAACAGTCTCAATTGATGATGAGAAAAGGTCTAATTTTAATATATATATATATATATATATATATATATATATATACATACGAAAATAGGCGGTACAAAAGATATATACGAAAACAGGTGGTACAAAAAATCACTTTTGGTCACTTCACGCAGAGTTTATTCCTATACAACTTTGTATGGGTCACTGTATTTGTAAATGTGCTAGTTTAGATAATATTATCGAAAAGCAGAATATACAAACATTTTTTTAAATATGTAAAATGTGTCAAACGTCATGAGCACTAGTATAAGAAGAGATGCTAAAGAATATGGGTCTGGTCTCATTCAATGCACAATTTAATGCCCTACAACTATTAATAGGTCTATGTTTTCAATATTGTGATTCCCTTACGAGATAAAAAAAGCTAACCCCACAAATATCCCTTTTCGGGGTATATTTCTAGTCCCCACCACTTAAGCACAACTCCGCCAAAAGCAAAAAAAAAAAAAGTATACCCATATTGGACCACAAATGAAGCTATTAAAACAATAAAACCTAGATATTAATTCTGATTCATCTTCTTTTGGGATTTTATTCTATTGTACTGTACAGAGATATGGGATTCAAAGATCTGGAAGGTAGTGACCTATGTAAGCAGATCTCCCAACGAAATTGTCCTCAGTAAGCAAGCAAGTCTGGTTAGCATTTACTACTAAAATCTACTACACGAGCATATAGGGTATATTGATACACCTGAAACAAGAAGAAAAAATGGTTTTCGCTTTTATTTATATACCCTGACATGTGACATAGGGATCATCAGTACTACAATCTGATGGAAGTCCAAATGTGAGTCAACTTCTCACACGATCGAATCCCATTAATTTGAATATTGTTTGGACAAAGGAAAAAGAATTTTCCTCTTTAATTTCTCCAGGGTGACGTTTTGACCGTCTTTATGTTAACTCCCATTAAGATTGTAATTGAGTATTTTTTCCGTGGATACGGTCAAGAAAAAAGTAATTTCTTTGTGATATTTTAACACAGAAGATAACCGTAGTAGAAATTCATGTTGATTATTACTGAAGACAGTGATTGAACGATGATTATGTACGAATTGATTATGAACGTGGTATTAGATGAAATAGTGAACACATTGCATAGATTTAAAATAATTAATTATGGTTGTGTGAGAAGATTGTACATTATTTCCGTTATTTGAAAACATACGAAATTATGACTTTGTTTCTTAATTTGCATTCTCTTACGTTTGGAGTCACGTAATAGAACATCCTTCTGTTTTTCGATCGAGCGCCCAGCCGATACACGTTTGCCCAGTTGATCGATGGAGGTCGAAACAGCTTTCTGCTTAAATTTCTAATATAGAAGAAACAGTGACTGTCAAAACCAACTGAAAGACAAAACTGCTGCAGGTAGACGCGTCAAATTAGAAATACAGGCATTGCGATGTAGTATGTAGTCATGAGAAACTATTAGTGTTTAATACGTTTTTTTGTTTAATGAAGTCAAATAATTTTTGTTTAAACGGATTTCAATCTAAACATTGCAGTGGCGCAGGCGAGCGGGACTGTCCGGGGCTGGAAGATGCAGGGAATGGAAGAGGAGGGCGAGGAAAATCTGGCGGGGCGAGGAGGAGGCGTGGAGATGTAGGGTGAGAGAGGTAGGGTGAGTTGGTAGGTTGATTAGTGATTCCGGGCGCGCAAATTGCTAAGGTCACGAGTCCCATAAGTTTAGTGCATGTTTTTATCGCGAAAGGTGGAGGTGATCTTCCCTCTCTGGATGGCGAGATCCGGCGCCGACCTAATGTCGGCTATTGAGAATTTCCCCAACCAGGTATCTCTTACCAACGGCACCGCCTCACCCGCGACCAAGCTCTAAGCCCGCGAGCGGTCTCCCGGCATGTGTGGTAGTGTAGTGCATATAAATGAGTGTGTAAGTAAGAGGTAGGATGGGACAAGGAATGAAAGATCGCGCGCGGTCCTTGGACCGTTTGGTTAGGGCACTGCTCTGGCATTCACCTGATATTGATGGGCGAAACTACGGCAAACTACCGGTCAAAGCAGAGATGCCAATAGGGTGGGTTGACTGACCACAGTTCCTTTCGCGGTACCCACACTCGCCCCCGCGTGCTTGCCGCTCGCTTTCCTACTCCTCCCTTCTCCCCCCCCCCTCGCGCAAATTTAATTGGGCAGCCCACACAGGCCGTTGCCCTCATTACAGCTCACGCAGATGCGATTCATCATTCATTTTTCATCAGTTTCATATTAGCGTGGAATTTATTAAATATTTCATTCCCGTGCCGCGTGCCTGCTTCACTGCCAAGGACGAGTTGTAATTACGCTGATGTAATTGAGTTTTAAGTGTGCGATAAACTATTGATTATTACGGAAGACATTGATTTGCTACCATCGGAGTGAGGCCGCATTAATTTGATTTCCGCTTTAGAGAGATCGTTACGCGGCGTAAAGCACGCTCTACCGCGTCGGTGCAAATGGCGGAGCGCGGACTTGAGACAAGCGCACCGTAACCGCACCGGGGTCCCGAAGGGGTAGAATAGCGATATGCACCGCCGACCACCTGTTCTGGCCCCCGCACCATCTCGTTTAAATGTTCGACTTGCCATCCCCTTCGTGTGTTTATTTGCGCATTGCCAATTACGTGCTCCAGTCACGTTGATCTGATTGTGACGTCAATTATTAACTCGAATTTATTGCGTCATCAGTAATGAAGGGCAATTTGTGGAAGGTGGATTTAGATATTCTATTGCGTGCGTGCGTACTTTTCGTTTTATTAATAACATTTGTAT